GATTTGTTTGTGTATTATTTATCCTGTGTTGTGTTGTGATGTTTCCATACTGTATAATAAATATCAATACATATGACCTGTCTTCTTGCCAGTATGTGGCCATTTTGAATATTAATTAGTTCATGCATATTAATGAGTGAATATTCATACCGTCCAGCACTCTCTGTCTGCTGGGGAGAACCCTGTATTTGACTTGCGTTCACCGACTGACCATTTCCGGTTTGAGCCCTTTAAGCTTGCTTACATCACAGATGCCAGCTAGTTTCCAAATTTGTATGTTTTATGATAGGGGCTTACATCATCCTATTATACCGGTACATTTTGCAAAAGTGTAAATTCTAGAATGTTGAGAATGTAGAAGATACTTACCTAACTTTTTTTTTTCTTTTTTACTCCATAGGTGTGCAACATAGTGGCAGGCCAGCGCTGCATAAAGAAACTAACCGATATGCAAACCTCTACCATGATAAAGGTGTCTCAAATAAGTTAAAGTCTATGTACTGCATCTGTATGAGGCTAGTTTTGTCCGGGTTAAAAAAATCCATTTGCATTTGGTATCTATTTGATCCTGGTACCAACAGTGAAACAAGCTCCTTTCTCTCCTATAGCAGCTGCTTTTACAAATTTATTGCGATTACCTGTGAGATCAGGACAGCAGTTATTATAAACTAGCTTACAACATTGACTATAAACTTACGCAATAGCATTCAGACTATGTCCAGTCATGTTACACTAATACTGTAAAATGGTGAATGTTTAAAGATGGATGCGGGTAACTAATAAAACATTTTTACAATCACTAGAATTTGATATTTTGCTCAGTAAAATGTTTCATGAAATGAATTGAACTAAAATAAAATTGGGGGTGGGGGGGTGTGAAATTGTTTACGTGGAACCCCATAGCATTCACCCAAATTTTAGCAGCCATTTTGGATTGGCAAATGCGTGCAATTGAAGTTCTTGATTCAAAGACTAGTTTTGCTTTAAAACATCCAACCAAAGTTTCAAAAAATTCCTTTCTCCAAAAAGTTAGCCGTGACCATTAGTAATGCATAATTGCTAATTACAACCTTATTTTTAAGTTAATCATAACTTCGGTTTTCACATCAATGTTCTGAGATTGCTGTATGTGCACGCTTTGTAACAAGATTTGAGGAAAGAAATGACAACATTGTTCACCATTGGTTATTTAATTGATCATTGGTCTAAGATTTATAATTCTTTCTGAACCCTTCGGTATTACAAAATAATGATTTACAAAGTGTACACAAGACTGGAATACTGTCTGATATGTATTGCAGGATTACAAGGCAGTGTTGCCAACTAGTTTTCACTACTGCTTTCTGGAACCCACATGTGATTGCTCTAAATTAACACTAAGCCATAGTCTAGTCAAACTAACACATTAACCAAACCCAGCCACCCATAGTTGTCTTTAATGCAATGCCAATATAATAAACGCCTGGCTTGTTTGACTGTAGGATCTAAAATGATTTCTACCTTTCTTTGGATGTAGATATTAACGTGCCTCATTTAGATGCTGTATTATAGGCCTATCTTACTTGAGTCTGTATCTACTTCAATTTGGTTTCTCCACACTGATTTCAACATGTTTAAAAAATCAAACTATGTTTGACTAAATGAAGACATTTTGCCATAATCTAAAGCTATCTTGCAGTTAATTGTACATATTTTCTTGATCTTTGTGGAGTATACCAATTGTTTGTGCTTTCACTATAATATTTAATACTGTTATCTTATTCCTAAAAAATTGTCTTGTAATTAATATGGAGTTACTCTGTGTATGCTACGAATTTTTCCCTGCATGCTTGTACCTGCAAATAGGTGCACTCCTTTGTGGCTTATTAACACAACTAATTTAAATCTATATGTCAATTTGTATTATGCTAACACTCTACCCATTTAACCTCTAGGCAACCGCAAGATCAGCTCCTGATAGGGAAAGAGAGATTAATAATTTGGTAAGTATTTTGGAGTGTTGTTTCACCATATATTCCACAACCTGCAAGGGTGACATGATGCGTGCCACATGGTAAACGTTTTTTACGAATTTGATTTAAACAAACAATAAAGTAAAAATAATCAAAGCATTTGAGGTATTCGGAGGTGCACTGTTTGGTTAGTGTGATAAACTACAATGGCTCAGTGGATTGCCATGTGTCTACTCAATCAAACTTGTACACTCAGGAAACCATGTGCTCACGTAATTAAATTTGTACATGCAACAGATGGTCAGTTTTCCCCATGGTGATATGGCCATGCTTAAATGTTAAGAAGTTAATGTTAAAGTATTGCATGTATCATATTTCAAAATATGATAGAAATAAATTTTTTATCTATCCAACTTTATGATTGCCTATTATATTTTTACAGATCAATAAAGCCAATTTTAACAGTGATCCATTTGTGCAAGAATTTGGAATAACAATCAGTAATCAGATGACAGAAATACAAGGAAGAGTATTGCCGCCTCCTAAACTGCAGTACGGTGGAAGAGTCAGTGTGAGTGCTGAATTACTACTTTATTATAACGTCTTATATTCTTACTGGTACTCAAGTTAAGGTTACATCAGTTGTGCTATTTTTAACCACCTTGTGTGTCTAGATTAGAAATAATTGGTGAATCGATTTGAAACATGAAAGAAAAGAAATCTGTACTTGTGGTGTTCTGACCAGGATGATAAAAGTGAGGGTCGCTTATTAATATTCATGAGCTCATTAACATACCTGAAAACATTGTATATACGTATTGTTCAGGTACAAGACACTAGGTTTGCTTTTTATATGATTTTGTGTTCTAGAATATATTATAGCACTATGGTTAATTTGCATAACAACATATGTAAATCAGCTTATTCCTTCAGTTGTTAATCCCATGATTCCATAATGTCACTCATTTGTTTCTGTTTTTCGTGTACGCAGTGACTGGTTGGCGAGAACCGGCCGTTCACACTTGATAAAATAATAGCATTGCTAACTGCTGTTAATAAATATACACATGTGTTTATGTTAATAAAATTGTTTATGGACAACATTGTCACAGAAGTTTTTTTAGCTGGCAATGATTAATATGCTACCTTTGTTATTAGTCATTCATATAGTGATTGGCAAAAATGAAGACAAAATATGCCACAGTGCAATGGCTTGCAGAGTAATGGAATAACTTTGCAATTACTGGAATTAATGATATTATTATTAATAATATTAGTATATTTTATATGACACATCTGAAATTGAAGAATGCTACATCATTGTCCTTGATTGCTATCTGTACAGGTATTGGATAGCAACACATGTATATTCTAGCATTTACTACTATACATTGTGGTTCATTGAAAGTACATTTGTATCAACAGACTAAATTCACAGCTGTTCCTAATCAAGGTGTATGGGATATGAGAGGTAAACAGTTCCACACCGGAATTGAAATCCGTGTGTGGGCGATAGCCTGCTTTGCACCTCAAAGGTCATGCAGAGAAGATGCACTGAGGCAAGTATCACTTATATTTGTGATTAAACAGCTGCTGTTTTTTAAAAACTAAGGAATACTAGTTTGGGCAGCATCTGAACATGTGTCGTGTACTGTATTCATTATTTAAATTATATATCATTTTATGGGGACTTTAGTTGCTTACTAATAGAGTAGAAGTAATTTTACACATTGATATAGTTACGACGTGTCACATAGCAGTTATGATAATCAAAAATTTCAACTCTGGATGAAAGCGGACATTTTGAGTTATTTATAAACCATAAAACTATTTGTGATAATTACAGCCATTCTGAGAATTATTCAGACACTTGATTAGCAAGATGACTTGCAGCTTTGCAAAACACATCAGTTTTTGTCCAATCTAGACTTGACGACACTGTTACATTGACATGTGTGCAGTTTACATCATTGTATTATCACATTAGATGAGGGTAAATTGCCGTTTTTCAAAATGAAAAGAGTTCATTTGAATATATGAATATATTTTTTAATATTTTTTGAATTGCATACATTGTAGATAAACAAGAAATTGTTATTAAATATGTATACTAAGTGTTTTGCAAAGTTGTGAGCCAACTTGGTAACTTACTGCACGGTTAATTCTCAGAATTGCTGTAAGATTGAATATGACCCTATCAATAATTCAACACTAAAATAATCTGGATACCTAAGTGTTTTGCCAAGTAAGACTATTAATTTCATAATTTAAAATTTTTGTATTTGTTAGGAATTTTACTGTACAGTTACAAAAGATTTCTAATGATGCTGGCATGCCAATTCTCGGCCAGCCATGTTTTTGTAAATATGCTACTGGAGCTGATCAAGTCGAGCCAATGTTTCGTTACCTTAAGACTACGTTCCAAGGTCTGCAGTTGATTGTTGTTGTGTTGCCTGGAAAAACACCTGTATATGGTAAGTTCAGTGTCAGTATCTAGGACCAGTAGTATACATATACAAAAATATAGTACTAATTTACCGTACTCGACCGCGTTAGCGCCCACGCCCGGGCAAGCGCCCACCCCCCACTTTTGCACAATTTTTATATTTGGGGTCACATTCTGCAAAGCGCCCACCCCTTCAAAATGCAACTAATTGAAAACTTGGTCTTGCGTAACGAATCTTGGTGATCGTTTTTATATGATACAGCGTGGATATCGACCGCTGTGAACATGTTGTGAATGCGTAGAACACGGTAACCGTGCGTAAACTACACTTCGACAATGACCTGTTAATACAAGTAAAATGCGGTAAATATTTCATGCCATATTCAGTTTACCTCTCAAAAATGGCTAGTTACTAGTTTTTTGGAAAAACCATGTTGTTTATTCGCTGAAATAAATTCCAACAGATCGTACCTCTACATCGATAATTCACTTCCGCATTGCGTTACCGGAAAGTCTTCGGGAATGTCCGAAGAATTGCGTCAGTGCAACACGGCATTCTGATTGGTAAATAACCAACTTGACCCATTAGGTCAAAGGATGCTGCTGCAGGTCAAATGCAAATGCATCATGGCGGAAA